AGCCCATTTCCCTTACGGATAACATCAGAAAGTTTTTCCCTCATAGCAACCCTGAACCCGCCTCTTTAAAACTTCCATCACTGTTCCCGAGTTTTATCCTTGTGGGCCAAACAAAACAAGCCTAATCTGTCTTCCTCACGAAAGTCCTTCAGATGTGTGAAGATCCCTGCTTTGAGTCTTCTCCAAGCTATTTTTCTTTTAGAAGAACAGGATGATGGTAATCGCCTCAGATGCAAGGAGATCTATGTCCAATATTCTGTAGTCCTAGAAAATATTAGCTTCTGAGAGATATTATGGCATAGTGAAAAGAATGCTTGCCATTGGAATCAGGATGACCTGGGTTCAAGTTCTGACTCTTCATATGTACTGGCTGTGTAATGCTGGGCAAGTCGCAGCCTTTCAAGGCTTAAAACAACTTACCAAGAGAGTGAATTGCAGAAAAGTTCTTTATCTGCATTGACAGAGGTTTCCTCCCTAAGAGCTCCCTTCGCCCATGAAATCACAAATCTATCCCCCTGCAAAAAAAATTGCTATTCACCATCTTCCATCTGACCCAGGATGGAGAAGGTAAATAAGAAACTGCATCTGTACTCAGGAAAAATACTTACCTGTCTTCTTGTTGTCCAGTCATTTCAGTCATATCAGACTCTTTGTGGCCCCATTTGGGTTTTTCTTGGCAAAGACACTGAGCTCCCTCAGTAGTTTGCCATTTCCTTTTCTGTCTCATTTTACAGATGAGGAACTGAGGCAAACAGGGTCAAGTTACTTGCCCAGGGTCACACAGTGAGTTATGTGTCCTAGGCTGGATTTAAACTCAGGCCTTCCTGACTCCTAGCCTGGCACTCTGTCTACTGTGCCATCTAGCTGCCCCCAGCTGTCCTGTCTGCCCAGGTCAGTTATGAGAAACTCATTGCCTATTGTCACATCTCAATGGCCCTGAAAGTGCTTGTTAATAAAATAATGGACCATCATTTGCCAGTTCATCCCTTCTATGTCAGGATCTCTCCCAGGGTCTTTTGGGAAAATTTGTTTGCCCTTAGTTCTAATAAGTTAATATGGAGTTAAGACCAAGTGCCTTGGGTACCAAAATAGCCAGTATGCTTATACCTATAAGAAACATATTGGGTTTTTGTTTGTTTGTTTGTTTTTTGGCAATGGGGTTAAGTGACTTGCCCAGGGTCACACAGCTAGTAAGTGTTATGTGTCTGAGGCCGGATTTGAACTCAGGTCCTCCTGAATCCAGGGCCAGTGCTCTATCCACTGTGCCACCTAGCTGCCTCTATAAGAAACATATTGAAAGAGATAATGGAGTGGGGAGTGCCTTGAAGATTTCAAAGAGCTATAAGAATATGATTGCATTGGTATAAGTATATTTATGTAAGCACTGCCAGGTCAAAACTTCAAATGAAAAATTCAGAGGCAGACATAATACATGTATGAATGGCGGTATATACTCCATATGTTCTGGTACTCTTAAACTTTCTGTTTTTATGTTGTCTGTATCCATTTTAAAGTATCAATTTATTTTTTCCCTTTTCTTTAGTTGACCACATCTAGCCAGAATTAATTCCGAAATTCCATCTGATAAAACTGAAGTTTTCTTTTCCATGTAGACTTCACTATAGATGGTCACTTGCAATGAGGTCTCTTTTGATTAGTAACTCACTGTTTTTTTATTCAGTTTCTTAGATGTGTAAGCTTTCTGAGTCTTTTTTTTTCCTTCAAAGGGATATGTTTACCAGATCTGACTTTTCATATTTACTGTACCCTCTTTACTTCTTTCCTGTATGACTTATTCCCATTTTGAAAATTTTGGATTTCAGTTTGCTCTTTGACAAACATTAAATAACACTTCTCTCTGTTTTTGGTTTTGTTTTGTTTTTTTTTTTACTTTTCCCTTACTCTGGTGCTGCAATAGGTCTGTACCCTCATAGGTATGTGTGGTCCTTCCCTCTTTTCAGGTTACAAACACTCTCTACCTTTTCCTTCTTCAGAATTCTCATCCATGTCCTTCATGTCATCCATAGAGCATTTACCCCATGCGACTTCTCTTGTCCTTTTTGATGTCTTGAAAGTACCAATGATAATATAATTATCATAATTATATTATAATAATTATAATAATATCATAAATGAATAAAATCATAAATAATAATCATAATTATAACTAACATTTACAATTTGCCATGTACTATGGTAAGCACTTCACAGATATTATCTCATTTGATCCTCACAAACAACTCTGGAAAGTAGGTTCTCTTATTATCTCCATTTTGCAGTTGAGGAAACTGAGGCAGACAGGTTAAGTGACTTGCTAGGTCACACAGCTAGGAATTGTCTGGAGCTGGACTTGAACTCAAGTCTTCCTGATTCCAGCCGTCCATCTGTGTTGACTCACTCTGACAACACAACTTGCTCTCTCCTTTTCAAAAGATATAGATCTTTAATAATACCTTCTGTGCCAGCTTGTCTCTAAGATCCACTTTGTTGGGACAGCTAGGTGATGCAGTGGATGGAACATTGGCCCTAGAGTCAGGAGGACTCGAGTTCAAATCTGGCCTTAGACATTTACTAGTGGTTTGACCCTGGGCAAGTCACTTAACCCCGATTGCCTCAAAAAAAAAAAAAGATCCACCTTGTTAGTACTCTATAGACTATTAGAATAGAACAATGGAACAAGCATTTATTAAGCACCTATTATGTACCAGGCCTTGTGCTAAGCACTTTACAAATATATCAGTTGATTCTCACAATAACCTGGGAGGTAGGTGCTATTCTTATCCCCATTTTACAGTTGAGGAAACTGAGGCAAAACAATCACACGGCTAATAAGTTCCTGAGGCCCTATTTAAACTCAGGTCTTCCTAACTGCAGACCCAGTGCTCTAACAAGTGCCACCTAACTGCCTCTATTCACACTCACCCTGTCATTCCATTGCCCTTTGGGGTACCTATAATTTTGATTCTCTGAAGACAGTGATATTCCATGAATAAATGCCTTATGCTATCACTGGGAGAATATTGGCATTAACAAAGTAGGGTTTTGTAGCAGCTAATGTCTTAGAATCACTGAAAGGGCTATGCAGTTTCTCGAATGAAATTCAGCCCACTCTTAGAAACACATCCATAAAAGCTTAAATGTAAACCCCTCTTTTAAAAATCAGATTCATTTTTCACTTTATTCAACTTGCGTTGACCCAAATTATTTACACTAAAGGGAAAGATGATTGACTCCCTTTTAAAAATATAGCACAGATACTACAATCATCACATAGTACCAATTTTTCCTTCTTCCAAAGCATTTCAGCATCAGGATATACTGCTGCCCTTTCATCGTAAACACCATTCTCTTTCATTTATTCTTAGCCCCTTCATTTAGCATTATTTTGTTGTTTCCTTGGTTTCAAATTTTATCTCTTTATGTGAACTGGGAACCAAAGCCTTTCATTTTATGGGTGATCTTGTGCATTCTGGAAACTCATACATGTAATCGTGGAACAAATATAGCAGCTGGAAGGACTCTTTCCTGAACAAAACCCAAGTGGGACATTTGGGTGCAAGCCAAGATTTCAGCAGCCACAGCAGTAGAAGTAAAAAGACTGTCTACATTACAACACCAACAAATCACTCCTGGACTGATAGAAATGTCCTTCAGGTAATGATCAGACAGAGGGTTGGGACCTTACACGTTTAATTGCCTGACCACGAAATAAAGTATTTACTGTAATCTTCCCTAGTCCCGACACCAAATTAATTGCCTTAATGTGACTAAAAATAAAGAAGCTAGGTGAATTGGTGGAAAAGATTAAAAATTAAAAAGTGGAGGCTTTTCCATAGGAACCTAGGTCTGTCACCAAATTGCTGTTACCTTAGGCAAGATAATCCACGTCATGGTACCTAGGGTTTCATTCAACAATAAGGGCAGCAAGGTAAGTCTTAACTCAAGAATGTCAGAAAAAACTTTGGCTCAAACAGACAGCCAATATAAAAGAAACATTGCAAGAACAAGAAAAGCAACATAGTACAGTGGAAGAGACCTCAAACTGTTAGTCAGAAGGCAGGCACTCAGTCCCTCAATCTGCCATTTAACTAACTGCATAACTTTAGGGATTTAACTTTTCCAAGCCTCAGTTTTCTTCATCTGAAAAATGGAAATAATCATGCTCATACTATCTACTTCACAGGGGTTATAAGAAAAACAATTGGCAGCTAGGTGGTACAGTAGATAGAGTGCCAGGCCTGGAATCAGTAAGACTCATCTTCCTGAGTTCAGGTCTGGCCTCAGACACTTACTAGCAGTGTGTGACTCTGGACAAGTCCCTTAACCCTGTTTGCCTCAGTTTCTTCATCTATATAATGAGTTGGGGGCAGCTAGGTGGCACAGTGGATAGAGCACCGGCCCTGAAGTCAGGAGGACCTGAGTTCAAATCCAGCCTCAGACCAAACACTTGAAACTTACTAGCTGTATGACCCAGGGCAAGTCACTTAACCCCAATTGCCTCCCAAAAAAAAAAAATGAGTTGGAGAAGCAAAGCATTCCAGTATCTCTGCCAAGAAAACCCCAAATGGGGTCACGAAGAATTGGACACAACTGAAACAGCTGAACAACAACATATAAATGTGATCCTAAGATAATAATACATAGAGAAATGCTTACTTTCAGAGGTGGGTTATTAAAGCATCTTAACAACAAACGCTTTATCAGCTGAGACTTCATGTAGCTTTAAAAAAAAACTGGCTTGTGGTATTTGAAAGAAATATGAGGAGATCTTTTTTTTCTCTTGTGTTTTGTTTTGTTTCTTTTTTTCTTGTGGCTCCTCCTATTGGTTCTAATTCTTTACAACATGACTAATGTGAAAATATGTTTAATAGGAATGTATATCAGATTGCACACCCTCTTTAGGGAGGAAGGTGGGGAGGGAGAGAGAGAAAATGTAAAACTCAAAAGCTTATGGAAGTGAATGTTGAAAACGAAAAATAAGAAGAAAAAAAACAGATGAGCAGAACTTTTTGTATAGAGAATTGTTTCAAGAAGACTCAATTAATCACTTAGAAATTCCATCTTTCCGAGTATAAGAATGTTATGCTGATGTGTTCTTCATAGTTCAAGGAAGCCTAGAGGAAAAAAAAAACCAGTACAAGAGTTATAAGAAAAAATAAAGCCATTTCTATATAAATAATAGAAGCAGTTACCCAATGGGAAGAATCACCTTGAAAATCATATTAATTTTCTTCTAAACTCAGATAGTACTTGGTGAAAACTTTTCGAAACATCTTGCCTTGCCCTTTGCATGCTGAAGTCGTCCTCTTTGATATTCAAACGATCTATTTGTAAAGGTCTCACTGAAGTCTTGTACTTGGATGAATTCCTGAGCAATTCAGAATACTGATGGAGGCGAAATGAATGAATAAGTGGTGCTTAAAGTGCAAAGTATTGGACGGTGATTCCAGCTTATGTCCATTTGTTCAAAGATTTACTTCCATTTCCTTTTTTCTTACCAGAGCACAAGAGGGAAAGTGCATATTCTGGCAGCATTTTTCAGCTTGTGCTTTTAAGATTTTTTTTTTGAACCTTGACCATTTACACCACATTTGTCCTTATTAGACTGTAACCAATTTAACTAGCAATATGGGATTCCCACCAATTGTGCTCATCTCTATTTACCAAACCATTAATTTGTTCTAAGTAGCTCAAATCCATCATTATGTGCCTTTGTTGTTTGCTTTTATGTTCATCCACAGTGATATCGTAAATATTACAGTCTCCTTAGGTTTAAAAAAATCTATTTATTATGAGCACATTTATTGCTTCATTGATTTACATATTTAAAATGCAGAGGACCACAAATTAAAAGTATTGCTTTTGTATTAAAAAAAAAAAGTAGATGCCATTCTTTCTAAATGTACTTGTTTATCTTACGTAATTAACAGTCAAGATTCAAAGACTGGTAGATACCTATCGTCATTTATTTTTATATATGATGGTAATGGTGATGGTGAAAAGACTTTATCCCAAAAGTCTAGATGTGTTGTGTTTTACATGATTACAAACTGATTCCTGGAAACGAATGGTCAGCAAGCTTATTCTCCGAATTCTTTTTGTCTGCGATCATACCATCCATAAGATGAAAGTAAAATTTCTTCAATGAAATTGTGAATAAACTCATTAAGCCTTTCTACACTCTGAGTTTACAGGCTTTCCTTAGTTGTTTATTGTATCCAACACGTAGGTTTGGTTTTTTATAGCTTCATGCATTTTATCCATCTCACAGGGCTGTTGTAGACAGTCTTTTCTAACCCTTAAAACACTATGTAAAGAATGTGAGTTATTGTGATGATGGCAATTATGTAACAGATAAGCTTAAAGTAGAAATATTTTGAAATTTCAGACCCAAATGGCCATTCCCTGATAAAATATTCACCTCTGGACATTTTTTTTTACTAATGTAAATTCAAAGAAGATGTGATAGTTCTGTTTTAAATATAGAATTTCTAAATATAAACATTGGCCAAAATATTATTTGGCTGACATTAATTGTGTGTGTGTGTGTGTGTGTGTGTGTGTGTGTGTGTGTGTGTGTGTGTGTGTGTGTAAAAGCTTTAATTGACATTACTGTTTCCTGTATCTTGCACATTTAAGGTCCTACTCTTGGCCTTGTGGTTGCCTTAGCATTTTGATAGAATCATGCCAGCTGATCCAACTGACTTCCCATTGCTTCCCTGCTTTGCATGCCAGTCATTCTCTCTGGTGGCCATTGTGACCTTGTGTTTCATTTGCCCAGCATTCATATAATGGTTTTTCTTGATGGGCATGCTAGCTGTGTGACCCTGGACAAATCACTTAACCATGTTTGCCTCAGTTCCTTGTCTGTAAAATGGGCTGGAGAAAGAAATGGCACACCACTCTAGTATCTTTGTCAAGAAAACCCCAAATGGGGTCAGGAAGAGTCATAATGACTGAAATGACTCAACAACAACAAAAATTCTTTCTTGGCTGCTGTAAGCTCCTACTGTGAAGTGGGCAGCTGAAGGTCAGTTGAACAGTCTAATACATATCCAACAGCCTTTGCTAGGTTTCTCCATGACCCCCACCCTCCAGGACAAAACCCTTCTAGTGGGACTAAGAAGGAAAAGGTAATCAAGTTTCAGGTCAGAACTTGATATATTCAAAGAACTACCTTATATGGCTATTTTATCCTATAATACTTATGCATTGACAGATTCCATATTCCATACCAAGGAGATCAAATCAGTCAATACTGAACAGAAATTAGTTCAAGCTCTTCACTGGAAGGTCAAATATTGAAGCTGAAGCTTAAATACTTTGGCCACTTAATGAGAAAACAACTATGTTGGGAAAGATCGAAGGCAAAAGGAAAAGGGGACAGCAGAGGATGATATGGATAATAAGTCATGGAAGCAATGAACATGAATTTGGACAGACTTGGAGTAGTAGAGGATAGAAGGGCCTGGCATGCTATGGTCCATGGGGTCATGAAGGGTCAGACATGACTGAGTGACTGAACAACAACATTCCACATGCATAATTTAGTGTTAGGTGTGAAATTGAGCAAGTAAAAGATCTCTTTCCTTGCTGCTATAAATTTACAAATACAGATGTTGACATATATATGCATATGTATATGTATATTGTACATAATTATGCAGATTCCATACAGATAAAATACGCAGTGGTAAAGATAATGTAGACAGGTCCAGCTACTGACTTTAGAATTCAATCTCTTTAAAGTTCATGTAAAAGGAAACAAACATTTTCTTGGCATTGTGCACATTTTCAATTATATCTGATATATTACTTGTTACAGCATGAGTCCACTGAGAGAAAAAATTGTAATGGCTTATTTTCAGAACAAATATGACTATAGATTAGCAACAAAAATAATATAGCCATCTTATAAGAAATACAACAGAGAGATTATTTGCTAAACTGTTTTCCCACACTGTTGTATTTTGTTCTTATGTGTCCTGATAATTTAACCAGAAAGAGGAAAAAAATGAACTACATTCTCTAAGACTTAGACTTTTGTTACTCCAAGAAAAAAAAAAGAAGATAATTTATAGGTCTATTCTGGAAAACAATCTGGAATGATGTGAGAAAAGCCTACTAAACTGTTCATGTCCTTTGGCTCTGCAATGTCACCACTAAGACATTCTTCCCAAGAAAGTCAAAGACAAAAAGAAAGAACCCACATGTGCCAAAATATTCATAGCAGCATTTCTGTGGTAGCAAAAAACTAGAGAAAGAAAGTGAGTGTCTATTGATTAGGGAATGGTTGAACAAATTGTTTCTTGTGAGCATTATGGAATATTATTGTACCATAAGAAACAGTACGTATGAGGAATTCAGAGAAATTATCACAAGACTTATGTGAACTGATGCAAAATAAAAAAAGCAGAACTGGGAAAGTGGCCAAAGGGACAACTGAACTCAGATTAGACCAATTAGCCAATTGTGTAGGTGTCTAGGTGGCATAAGGTGCTGTACTTGGAGTAAAAAAAGACCTAAATTCAAATTCTGCCTCAGTTATGCAATAACTGTGTGACTCTGGGCAGGGTCACTTGACCTCTCAAACTCAGTTTCCTCACCTTCCTCACAGAGTTGTTTTAAGATGAAATGAGATAACACTAGAAAGTACTTTTCAAACCTTAAAATACTATAAAAATGCTAGATATTATTATTAAATGCAATGACCAAAATAAATTCCAGGATAGAGATGATGAAACCCTCCTACCATCTCTCAGTAGAATGTGGTATCTGAGGACAGATACAGTTATTGGACTTGTAAATGAATGAATGAATGAATGAATGAATGAATGAATGAATGAAACATTTATTAAGAAGTTACTATGCAAATTTATGTAGTGCCTTCAGATTTTAAAGAACTTGCCTAATAAGAACACTATGAGGTAGGTAGTACAATTAAATAGAGACCTGAGGGTCAGAGATAAAGTGACTTATAGCTACTAAGTGTAAAGTAAGAGACTGCAATTGAACTCCAAGCTCTTGACCCCACATGGAATACTCTTTCCACTGCACCATGATGCTTGGATTTCTATATGGCATTTGACAAAGTTTTTCCTCATTTCTTGAAGACCAGATGCAGAAATTTGATTTAGGGAGTTGTCTCATTATTTGCATTCAAAACTGATAAAATTACTAAAACCAAAATATGATTTCCATGAATCAGTGTCAACTATAGGCAAGTCCCTGGGCATCAGTTTCCTTACCTATAAAATGTTTTTTTTAAGACTACCCTGAACAACCTACCTCAAAAAAGTTATGAGGAGAAAAAAAGAACATTTTTGTAAGCCAAAAAGTACTAATACACTGTGACCTTAACATATCATTGTTGACTTCTCCAAGAGCCAGTAGCTCTTTGTTGTGAGGTGATCATGACTTCTCCAAGTTATGCCATAAGAATATAATCTCTAGCAGATTCTAACAAACTAAACAGTTTTGGAGTCCAGGCATGGCAACTAACTGTATCTGCTGACCAGTTCAGTGAAAAAAAAAAGTTTAGTAATAACAGTTGCACCACGAAGTAATTAATTCTTGGTCCATGGCTACCCATGGAACATAAATACATCATGTCTTAAGTGACTCTGATAAAATTGAAAAAATGTTGCTAAGGAATAAAGTTTTTAGAACATCTTTATACATCAGCTTGACTGCTGATAGTTGAAGTAGGAGATCTTTATCCAAGAGTCAACTAGTTATGCTAATGAAAGAACTGAACCGTATCCATATTGGCATTGATGCCAGAAGACATTAAAAGGTTGCAACTAAAGTGAAGAACAGGTCACAGATTCTCCTTAAGAAAATAAAGAAATTGGTGTAGTTGACTTCATCATAGATCCAAGGCAACAGGCAACATCATATCACCTAACCCTTGGACAGCTCATCATAGAGTGCTCTTGATAAACATAAAGAAAAAGATTACCGTGAAGAGAATTGCAGTTTATGTGTCAGACTCTGCTGTGGGAGATGAAGAAGTAGGGATATTCTATGAGAAACCTGACAAGATCTTCCCCAAAAAAGGGATAATACATACCAGAATGGATACTCAGTGAGGGACTTAGATGTATAGGAGAGC